TTGAACAGCCTGATTACATACTCGGTCTTCGCTGTTTCCGGCATGGCTATTAACCTAGCATACTTACTAAACCTATCCACGATGACGAAGATCTGCCTCATCCCACTCTTGCTGGTGACCAGCGTATCCATGAAGTCCATGGACAAGCTTTCACCCGGCCTTTCCGGAATCGGAAGGGGCTTGAGCAGCCCAAGAGGAGCTTGAGTATGGGGCTTGTCTCGTTGGCAAACTTGACAAGTTTCCACGTACAGCTTAGCATCTTTTAACATCGTGGGCCACCAGAACCTTTGCAGCAAATTGGCTGCGGTCTTCTTGTACCCAAAATGGCCGGTGGCGTCATGACACTCGCCTAAAAACAGACTACGCAAGAACTCTTTATCAGGGACACACAAACGTTTATTCCCTTCCTTCTGGAGAAACAGCAAGCCATTGACCAACTCAAACTCGGCTGAAGTTTGTTTATCCTTCGCCTCGAGTCTGCGTATGATCTCAGACATAAACTGGTCCTCTCGATAGGCTTCCACCAAGGATCGAGTGACATCATCCGTAAGATCGTACTCAGTAATCAGCGCACTTGAGAAGTCAGGTCTACGCGACAAGGCATCAGCAACCTTGTTGTACTCACCCTTGATGTACTGAGGGCCAAAGTCATACTGCTCAATGACTTCTATCCAACGCTTCAATGCGTCAGAGAGTACAAGCTGAGTTCTCATCCATCTCAAGGTCTGATGATCAATCCTGAGGATGAAGAACCTCCCAAGGAGATAGTGTCTCCAATGGGTCAGCGCCTTGAACACCGCATAGAGTTYTTTCTCATAGGTGGACTTAGCCAACTTCTGAGACGGCATTTTCTTGGATATGTACTCAACAGGCCTCAACTTTGGCCCCTCCTGCTGCTTAAGCACGGCGCCAATGCCATATTGGCTAGCATCCGTGGTTACTATAAACGGCTTATCAGGATCGGGAAGTTTCAAGACTTCATAATGCRTTAGTGCATGCTTCAGATGTCTGAAAGCAGCCTCGCACTCATCTGTCCACTCCCACGGGGTATCAAGGCGGGTCAGATCAGTCAAAGGAGCGGCCACCATGCTATAGTTCTTTACAAAAGTCCAATAGTAGCCCGTCATTCCTAAGAAAAATCTCATCTCAGTCACAGACAGAGGTCGTGGCCAATCACGAATGCTGGCCACCTTCGCGTCATCGGGCTTCAACCCTTCCACGGAGATCTCATGACCCAAGTACAAGACACGGGTGCGCCCAAACTCGCACTTCTCACCGTTGATCTTGAACTTGTGCTGTCGCAGGAGACTAAGGACTTTGTCCAAGTGTGCAACAATCTCCTCGACAGTTTTACTAAAAATAAGTATGTAATCGAGGTACACGATGACAAACTTATCCAAGTAGTCATGGAATATCCGATTCATAGCGTGCTGAAAGGTGCCAGGAGCATGGCACAGGCCAAAAGGCATCACCACAAACTCGTACAGACCGTACCTGGTCTGAAATGCGGTTTTGTGTTGATCCTCGGGCCGGATTGCAATCTGATGGTACCCGGACTTCAGATCTATYTTACTGAAGTACCGACACCCTTGCACTTTATCTAACAGATCATCGATGCGCGGTAGGGGCTCTCTGTTCTTTACAGTGATGGCATTGAGACCCCTATAATCAATGCACATCTTGAGAGTGCCCTCCTTCTTCTTAGGTACGAATAGTACTGGAGATCCGTAAGGAGAGACACTCGGCCGGATCCAACCCTTCTCTACGAGTTCCTTGAGTTGGCGGCGAAGCTCATCAAGCTCGCCTGGAGACATCTGATAGATCCTACCCTTCGGAATACTAGACCCTGGGATAATCTCTATCGCGTGGACGACCTCCCTATCAACAACCCTTGTTNGTGGACGACCTCCCTATCAACAACCCTTGTTGGCTCTTCAAATAGATCAGGGTACTTGGCAACTACTCCCTCTATCTCCGGCGGCATATTCACCGGCTCGCCTGCAGCAGAGACATAAACTAAGTACATACCCTCCTCCTGATGTTGCTTATAGTAGTTATAGAACGCGGCCGCACACATGCATCCATGGGAATCGATCAGACTACTAGCTTTGAACTTGTGTAATCTGGCGGTCCCTCCACCTAGCAAAGTGTGCTTCACCACTTTTCGGTCCTAGTTAAACTGAGGTTGTGCCACAGAAAGGTAGTACATACCTAACAAGATATCCATAGGGAGATCGTCGCTCACTAGGAATGAGACACGATGCCTCAACTCCCCTTCCGCGAACGGGAACAGGCATTCTACATCCTGAAGGTAGTCATTGACTACCATGCGCTGTTTGTTGGCACAGGTCGACTCCACTGGTCGACTCAGGCGCTGCTCTTGCCCCTGTAAACGCAGCCTCTCAACGCACGAGCGACTAATAAAGTTTCGTGTCGAGCAAGTGTCATAATAGGCCCCGGCCTTGCGGCCGCCTACGACTATCTCGTTGACGAACATCTCACCCTTCGGGGCTTTAGCTAGTGCCGTCCAAGGACCTAGCGGGTCTAGTCTAGACCACTCCTCCTCTAGCTCCTCTAAGGACTCAAACACATTCATTGAGCAAAGGGTCGATGGGTTTGAATGCGTTTGCGGGACGACAAGGGAATCAGTAGCTTGGGCCATGATGCGAGATGGCGAGGGTGTCTCCACCACCTCGTCCCTAGTAGGAAGAACTACTATTCCTACTGGCCTGACGTGTTTCCCGGAGCAGTGCCTGATGAACTGGCAACATTGCTACCTACGGGAGATGAGGATCCTACTGCCTGCCCCATAGTAAGCGGGATCTTATCGGTGACCTTCTTGTTCCTACATTTGAACTGGTTATGGCCGTATTGACCACAACGAATACAGGCCTGACGGTTCCACCGATCTCTCCACACGTCCTCTGAAAGACCCGCTTTCTCCCATGGAGGAGCATTGGGGTCAACTTGATTCCTAGACCGGGAGCCCCCTCGGCGTCTACCGGTCCCCTTACCTTTTTGTTGGGTTACGGCGGCGACTACTCCACCCTCTGAAGTATCGCCACCTGCCTCTGCACCYACTCCTACCCGGGAGTCGTCGTCCAACTCAATGGTTGATCCATCGTGGTCGACGAACATAATACGGCCCTTGGCTTTCCAGTTAGGAGGCAGGGTCTTYTTTTTCCCGTCCGTCACTGAGTTATGTCCATGCCCTATTTTTGCTTCAAGGTCTAGGGCTACCTTGTTAAACGAAGGAAAGTTGTGCATATTGATGTTGGCCTCTTTTGCCAACTGGTTCCTGAGAGGCTGGGATAAGCACCTCAAGTACGAAGTCAACAGGACCTGGGGGTCATAGCCCACCCCTGGAACACAGATCAAACGCTCTACAGCATCTGTGGCTTCCCTTACTGACTTATACTGCCTCGTGTGCAGTGTCAGGATTGCATCAATGGCCTTTTGGGCCTCCTGAGGATCATGCCATCTTTCTTCCACCATCTTCAGGAAGTCCTCCAAATTTTGAGAGGCTGCCCAAGAGCGGAAGTCATGACCGTACCCCTGGAGTTGCACTAACCCACTCAACCATCTTGCTGCACTACCCTCTAGGTAGGATGCAGCCACAAGCACTTCTTCGTGTGGCAAGGTGAGTTTACACCTGCCATAGACCGACACTGCCCTCAACCTAGTGTCGAGGTCTTCGCCTTTCTTGTCCCCTGTAAATGGTTCGGGAGCGGCGATGGCCGTCTTTGGAACCCACTAACTTTGTCCCGGTCCCTGCACCAACCCGGGCTGTGGACCCGATGATACAGGTTGTTGTGCTAGCTGCTGGGGCTGTGTGCCCTGTGGCTGCACAGACTATGAGACAATAGATTGCCCACTAATGGCAACCTGTGACGGAACCTGGGTGACCACTGACTGTACTGGAACCTGAACACTAGGACCTGCTGATAGCCCTCTTGAGAGCGACATGCCCAGGGAAACGACAGCAACCGTCGACGGGGCTACAAATGGGGATACCCCAAAGACCGATGAGACAAAAAAGGGAGGATATGGCACAGGCCAGGCTCCCGGCCCTGCCGGTGATGGCGCTGCTTGAGAACGCCCTACCAAAATGGCTAGGCTCTGCTGGATGTCTTGAARAATGGTAGTCTGATGCTCCTGCATCTCTATTACCCCTAGCAGGGCCCTCCTAACTACCCTCACGTCATCATCCATGTTCGTCAGGTCCATCGCTTCTAACTCCTCTATGTCTGCCCCCCTTCGTTGCATCCTGGTTCTTCTTCTAATCATCATTTCCTTCTCTCTTTTTATCTGGCCTAATGCCTGCTGTAGTTGTGCCTCTTGCAGAGCTGCCTGCTGGATGGCGACATCCTCTGGGGTCAACACCGCGGGCTGGCWTGCCATTAAGCCAGTGGACTGACTCACGGTCTGCGCGACCGTGGACCCGGCGGTACCTGAACTACCAGCTTGGGAAGTCTGCTGCGCAGACGTGCTCATGGTTGTGGTAGCCATGGCTGCTGTAGCACCGGCCTCGCTAGCTAATGCCCTGCTGGCCTCGGCTGCTCTAGCTCTCCTCTGCTGCTGCCTCTCCCTCTGTCGGCGGAAAAGTTCTCTATCACCCTCCGGTCCTAAGGACACGTGAGTTATCGGGCCCCTAGCTGATCGCAAGATCCTGCGGTCGTCTTCTCCGGTGTCCCCTGTGTCGCTCATAGGCTACAACACTGTGCGCTGTCTACACTAGATCATTCTAGATGCCTACCGCAGAATAGTGCACAGACCAACTAATTGATGGTGGCTACTTTTGGAACAGATCTCATTTGGGGTCAGCAGATGATTCAGACTCCTACAACTGAAACTATTTTTAGTATGACTAGTCCGCAAACAGAAGCACCAGGAACAATCAAAAGTTCTAACTAATGCTGTCTGTCATATGTCAATGGCAGTCCATCTACTAATCAAAACATAAAATAGAATCACTTGTGTGGATAGGACAGCATGGTATTTTCTCGAACTTGTCACCTGGAATCAACCCCTCCCTCTAATCTAYACTTGAGTATCTCTTGCCGTCAGCGTCCTGAGCAATCGGGTAGCATGCATGACTGAAGGTGTGCAATCCGGTCCCACCCCTGTGCCCCAGGTTATCGTCGAGCAAGGCAGCCACAACACTCTTATTTATCCTCGTACGCCGACGAGCCTTACACTCGGTTGATCTGGCTGATCAAGAGGCAATTTAACGTCCGCCCCATCAAGAGCGCTTCGCGCCTTTCCAGGAGTCATGTTACCAGGCTTACTCTTGATAGTCTCGTAGCAATACATTAAGAATTTAGGATCTGCAAGAAGACCTATTAGATCCAAGTGACATCAGGAATTATTTTACGTCGCAACAGGACGACGATCACAGCCAGATTCAGAGCAGAGTCCCCAACCAGAAATGTTTATAGACGGTCTGGTAAGCGTCTCAAGAGGCTGCCACACCCGAGTTAACCTCTATCTGCGCAAGCAGCAGAACCAAAGACTTGCAGCGAAGCATGCGTGTACCACACCCAGTGGGTTGGCATGGTGACGGTGACCCAGTGCTTCGTCCAGGGCCCTTCAGAAAGCAACGTCCTCTTCCCCCTGATGCTCCACAGGAAGTATGCCGACTCTCAAGGTTGAGCGCACTCGACACCTCACGATGAGAGGACTCTCAAGCTGGATCACACAACCTCATGATAAGAAGTGTTGGAGAGGGTAGATAAGGTTGGGAGTAACGTACCTCAATATTGCTGCCCCCAACCACAAAGATAATCTCACCAGATGACCCAATGGCAATTGCGATGACCAGTCACTGCATCGGCACAACCAGCATTATCCGCCGTTCCACCTCAGCATCACTCGCACATTAGATATTTCTCATCACACTGTCCAGACCACTTACACTTCACATAGCCTTCCTGGCGAACCCCTCACCTCCTGGGTCGCCTTCACACTCATCTCCACCCTCCTCACTACACACCACTTACGGCCAAACTCGCCCAGCAGACCGCATGTATGTACCGCATAAGGCAGAAGACAAGGGCCAAATGAGCGCAATCGTACCACAGCTCCGATACCAAATTGCAAGGAAGATGAGCATTAGCGAACTCCAGCAATCAAACAGCATCATACATATGAGTCCAGATAGTCTTGACCTCGAACCAACAGCAGAAATGCATCACGAGATTCACCAAATAAGAACACCCCAATAGTTCGTAATTCACAATGCTGAAATAGTCTCTCATCATCATCATCAACGAAAAACAAGAGTTGATATCCTATTGGCACTCGGCGCCCAGACTACATGTGGCAGATCCTATCTAGCCTAATACTACAATGCTGATGTTGACAACAACAGCTTCCTGAAGTACGAGCATATAGCGGACAATGCCGCACGCTTCCAGCCCCAGGTATGTCTCTCGCAACACTCACAACCTCGATCCACACCACACAGATGCCACTAGCACCCAAGGACCACCCTGCGCCACACCCAGCTCACASCGGAGCAGCTCGGCTATGGCTGSCCGYTCCTTCCTGCTCGCCCGTGAGAGCGTGAGTGCCAGCCAGCCAGCAAATAGCGCAGCAGCGCTCGCGCAGCATGCAGCCAGCACCCAAATACCGAATGAGGAGGCAGGCCCTTCCCTATATCRAAGTGGCCTTCCTGCGTCCAGTCSAGGAAGCTTCCAGTAGGCCCCGGTAGGCACAGGCCCAGACTTCACACGCAGGCCCAGGGCCTGATGGTTGCATGTGCCCAACTGCCCTTGGCCTGCTCAMGGCCTTTCCCAYGCGTCTGGCCCAGGTCACCATTCAGATACATTTGCAAAATATGGYCTGGGCCTGGGCGCCTTCAACCAACTGGCGCAGCGCAGCTGTCTGAATTTCACCAGTTGCGGGGTACCCTGAAAATCGAGGCCCTGAGGGCCTGTCGCGCCTGCCTTCACTTAGGGCG